GTCCCGCCCCACCCCACGTCGCCGGGCGTCTCCCAATAACTTAGTTTCAGGGCCCTGTGACGCGGGCGCGACGCCTTGGGGGACCGCGGGCGAACTGCCACCGGGTCAAGAGGAGGTGGTCGCGGTCGCGTGGTCGTCGTGCACCTACTTGAAGTCCTCGAGGAGCGCGGTGAGGTTGGCCTGCGCGCGCTCGTTGAACCAGCCCTCCACACGGCCCTCCGGGCCCGGGAACAGCTTGGGGTCCTGGCTGTACCAGATCGCCATGCTCTGGCCGAGTTGGAAGTCATCTGCAACAAGAAGGAGGCCGCAAGGTGAGGTTGCATCCTCGACGTGTTGGTGGCCCTACGGGTCCTTTAATCTAAATTATAAGGTACACCAAATTTTGTATTTCCCCGATTTTTGAATTGTTTTCTTATCTTTTGTGACGTTCTTTGATTTTTTCGGATTTTCCTAGTTTTTTCCGATTTTCCTAATTTTTCCTGATTTTTTTCTGGCCCCTTGCCATGCGCACCTGTCTTGGCGCACTCGTCGTAGCCGAACGAGCACTGGTCTGCCCAGCGCTGAGCGAGGGAGGCGACCTCGTCGTCCCACACCATCTGCAGCATGCGGGACGCGGCCGGCAGCCCGGCGACCACGCCGGACGCCACCTGCGACCGGTAGAAGTTGTGCCGGTGCAGGATCACCGTCTTCTCGTCCTGGCTGAGGGGCGCGGCCCGGTAGCCGACGCAGTTGGGGCCCGGTGTGGAGGGCCGCGGGCAGACCGCCGCCGCCTCGGCCGCGCCCGCGCGCTCGGCGAGCGCCGTCAGCTCCGCCTCCAGGAAGGGCGTGTTGGACGGCTCGTCCAGCCGCAGCGGGGGCAGCGAGGCGACCGTGCTGACGAGGCCGCTGCCGAGTTCCTAGATTCGTCAGAAAGTGCAAGGCTGTGAGCGGGACTTGTAAAGTAACCGGTGAGATTCGCAGTTGTTGCCGTAGGGACAGGGCGCGCGCGCGCGGCCCTGGACGCCTGGCGGGTGGCGGGTAGGCCCACCCGTTGCGCGTGGACGCCGTGCGGGGTTGCCTACCCGAGACCTCGCAGGTGGCCTGGCCAGGGACTCGACTCTCCGTCCGAGACTCACGTTGCTGTCCTCGGAGCGCGCGCAAAGTCCCGGGTAGCGGTCGGAGCAGCTGAGCGGGCAGCGCGAGCAGGGCGGGCCCTCGCGGTACAGCGCGTTGCCGAAGACGTTGCCGCCGGGCCCGTAGTTGCACACGAGGTACTCGGAGGGCAGGCCATGCTCGGACATGTAGCGCGTCCGGCCGCAGCCGACGAGGTACGTGTCGGACCACGCTAGCTGCGTGAAGTGGGACGTGGCGGGCGCGAACCTAGAGATTCAAACACAAAACAAAAATCCAAAATTAATGTCAAGTCATGGGCAAATCCGAAAAATTGCAACAAGAAACACACCAAAAAATAATACGTGCAGTTTTTGGAAAATTAAAACAAACAAAAAAACAAAACATGAGGGACACTTTTTGAAAATTTCCACAAACTGTTGAACAATTTCAAAATTTCGTAGAAAAAAATAAAAGAATGAGTGTTATTTGGCAGAATCTTTTTTTGGGTGGTCACTCACGTGAAGGGCCCCTTGGTGTAGTTGTACAGCTTGAGCTCCTGGAACCAGTCCTCGACGCGGTTGGTGCTGGCGGGGAAGGTCCAGTCCAGGCTGAAGGTGAGGCCCAGGTTCTGGCCCTTGGCGGACCAGCGCGCTGTGTGAGGGGAAAGGATAGAAAGAGTGGTGAGAGAGGTTCGTTTATTTTCACGCCGATCGATGTGACGGTGACATATGCGTGTCACGTTAAAGACTAGAGTAGGCGAAGATGTCGCCGTTCGCTAGACTCACCAGTCCTCCGGCAGGGGTCATGTCCCCACTCGCACTGGTCGGCCCAGGCCTGCGCCAGCTCCTGCAGCTCTTCGTCCCAGTACTGCCGACAGACACACAACACAACTCGTTAGTGGCGCAGGGACCGGGGACCACCCATCACCGTGGTTGGGGCGCGCGGGGGCAGGTCCCTCGGGTAGGGCTCCCTCTGCTCCCTCCCCAAGAGAGTTCTACCCGGTCCTACCCGTTCTACGGGTCGGGTGCGCGGGCGGACCCTTGGGGCAGGGCCGGCTGACGTGCTACCGCTCGGCTGCTCCCTGCCGCCCCTTCTCCAACAGAGTTCTACTCGTTCTACCCGTCGGCGCTATGCGATTGCAGCACAGTTACGCCCGAGTTACTCCGAGACGCCCGGGCCGCGGGGTTATCCGAGATTTTAGGCTCGAGCAGCGAGGGGAAACTTTTCCGGGAAAAGAGCAAAACAAAGTGAGAGGGTGAAAACAATCTGCAAGGCGCGCGCGCGCGCGCGTGGGGGGGAAATCCCCCGGCCAAGTGCCCCCCCCCCCCCCTTAGGCTGAGCGGGGGGATGGGGCGGTTCGCAGGTTCGAACGCGACAAACAAAACTTGCGAAGGGACAGGGAGGTAAGGAGGAGGGGGAAAAATAGCATCGTCCTCACTCGGAGGACGTCCCATCTCCCCGTGTCGGTGCTCACGTCAGCCCCCTCCCCCCATCACAACAGAAGAAGGTGAGATAGATAGAGATAGATGGAGAGCGAGAGAGAGGGGAGAGAAGGGGGGGGGGGGGAGGCCTCCTTCGCCTCCTTCAGCGAGGCAGCTGAACGCTCGTCACGGCGGCCGCCCGCGCGTGAGCGCGTGCTCAACAGAGGGACGAGGACCCTCGAAAGGGATAAGATAGATACAGTCGAAATCACCGCTAACGTCGAAATAATTGACGCGTGCCCAGAGAGAAATAGGTCGTGGAAAAGACGTGGACTCCACGTGGTTTCGTGGATTTTTCGTGGTGGTGGATACATCCACCAGATATCCACCACTATTTACCTTTCTAAAAAGTTGTAAATAAAATCATAAGAAACCATTTTTTCGTCAACATTTCTTACTAAATGGGATTTTTATTGTTCTGAACGCCATATTCCAGTATATTGTCAATTCGACGTGGAATCCACGTCGAATCGACGTGTATCAGTTCGTCTGTCGTTTACACGTCGATTCCACGTTGATCTCACGTCGATTGCCTCGAAACCCTTGATTTAGTTGCTCGTACCAGTTGGTCTCATCTTCATTGAAGAATACTCAGATAGTGTTCTCGAGAACACCTTTCAAATATTCCGCCACGACATCATAGAGTTTCGTTTTGGACGGAAAAAAAAGAAGGCACCGTAAGTTGTTTACATTCGAAATGTCGTATCGTGTTTGTGGTCTTTTAGTACAAATTACTACAAAAAATCAAACAAGCGTAAGTGAATACAATTTTTTTACGTTTCCTCTTTGTATTATCGCATCGTTAGTAATTATTTCTCTTCGTGCAGG